TTTGTGTACCCCGGATCAGAGACCCCAAGGACTTGCCTTGATGGGTTTCCTTGTCGTGTGTGTGGCAGCCAGCGCTCAGGGCCATAACATCTCCTCTCTCTGCTTGGGCAAAACAGTCCTGATGAGAGAAAAAACACTCCTTTTCTTCAAAGCAGAGCTCCCAGCCCAGGGGTGTTTTCAGTGAGGTACTACTGTTTTGGTGGAAGACATGGGAAGATCCATGCAGGAACCTCTCCACCCCTTTGGCTGCACTCTCCACTTGCTGTCTGGTTTGCCGTGGGAACACTGGCAAAACTGAGGGCTCCCTAATGGCAGTCAGGCTGGGAAATGCTAAATGATGGTTTATGTGTGCTGATGTTTGGAGCTAGAACCTGCGGGCCAGCTCTGAAATTCAGCTTCAGTGATTAGATGCCTTCCCTGTGGCTATCTGTGAAGTGCTATACACACACACACCACACAGACATACATATATCTCTCTATATATTTGGCATCATAGTTTCAGGTTGCCTACCCCTTCCATCCCTTCACCCTACAGAGAGCAGTGATTTGGGACTTGGCCATCTGGATGGACTTTATGCTTTCACCTTCTCCTCCAGGTCTGATCCATGAAACATTTGTATTCCAGGGAAGCAGAGGACTAAGGTCAGCATCACCACAGCCTATCTAATGAGGTCAAAGTCAAGCACTACAAGGCATGAGGCAATTATTCATCAGCCTTTAGGTTGCATTCAGACTGGCTGCAAAGCTCAAGGGCCTTAGGATACTGGTCAGCTTTCCAGATGAAGGGGTTAAGGAGGAAACCTGTGCACAAGACGAGTGTCATTATGGAAATTAATGTCACAAGGATCCCCCCATCAGAAATACTGTCCTCAAACAGTAGTGGGCAACTTGTATGGCTTAGCACCATGCAAGCCTTTAGATGACGTTTTTTCCTTGCTGCTGCTCTGAAAACACAGCCCTGTCTCCCTTAGCACCGTGCCGCCGCCTCTGAGTACAAGGTCTGAATGTTTACAGGAATCAACCTGTGTCATTGCAGCAATGCTCCTGGCTGCAGCTGACTTCTCTTTGCATCAGCTTTTCCATAAGCATCCCTACTTACCAGGCTTATGTTACAGAACAGGTATAATCTAATCCCCCTCCCCTTCTCCTGGCATTGTTAAAGACTGAGAAATTTAGTCCAACATAATCAGGAAATGTAAAAGTTAAGATCCTTCCATCCAGATGGCAGGAAGCTGCCCAATATTTTACGGTACATGTTAAACTGCCTAAAGAACAATGCACTGCAGGGCAGGTTTTACAAAGCAAAGCAGGAGCAGTGAAGCAATGTGAAGAGCACTGTGGCTGGAGCTCAGCTTCTGGCATGCCTTGCCATGGTGCTTCCTCTTGACTTTCCTCTTCTCCTCTGCCCCACTCCTCACCCAAAGCTCTCTCGGGATTCTCCCACCCCACAGGACACTTGTGGTGGTCCAAACCTCCCCTTGGCCACAGGTCTTCCCCTCTGGGCATACCTATGGGTTACAGTTGTCCTTTCCTTGGCATTTAAAGTCTCCATGCTCAGGTGGCCCTGCTCTGCTCACCGGGCAGCACTGGCTCTGCTCTGCCTCGTGTGTGGGCACCCCCTTATTTAAAGGATCTAGTCCATTACCCAAAGGGGCTACAGGAAGAACTTGTCATATAAGGACATTTATACCCTTATTTACTCTGTGTCTTTGGGAGAAGGCTAGAAAAAGCTAAGTATCACCCACTTTGACCATCTAATATGTGGTTTCATGGCTCAGCCACACTTGGGTTTTCTTCCCACAGGCCTGCAGGGTTGCTCTGTGTCATCTCTCAGGCTAATGGGAACTGGTGAGAGAATCTCACCAGGTTTCAAGGCTATTTCGAAACCCTATTGGAAATCTGGCCAGAGCAGCTCTGACTTGCTTCCAGTCCTCCTGCCCAGGTTTCCTCCGCAGGAAGATGATGCTGGAGGCTGGTGAACAGCCAGATCTTGCCCTGACAGAGAAAATTTTATTTGAGCTACTTTCTCCAGCTGGTGTTTGACCAGTTGAGACCTGACGGGTGTTGTAAATCTACCTGCCCCTTCATCAGCATGGCAAACACACAGCTGCTCTTGCTCTATACCTGGCAGAGTGCAGTAGCTACAGGTTAACGCAGGGGAAACATGAAGTCATTCATGTGGCTTCACTTTACCTCTTTCTAGATTTGCTGCCCTCCTAAAATATCAGGGCCAAGCCTTCTCCAAGAACCGAGATGCTCCAGTGGGATCTGTTTTTGCAGAAATTATAGGACCTGGAGTAGGCATCCAGCATGGTTGTGTGCAGGCATCTTGCACAATGCTGAGACCTGCATGGAGCAGTGGGTGCTGTTTCTCTTAAGGTGTTGACTGCATTTGATAAAAATAGAAGTTACCCTGTCTAGCTAAATATGAAAAGAAACATTTCCCTTAGGGGAATGGAGGTTTCTGCACCTAAAACTTCCTAGGCTTTTCTGAAAAGCCCCAAACAATTTTTTTCCTCTCAACTTCTACAGTTCTTCAACTATTATGCCTGGCTTATAATCAGCATCTGGCCACAAATACTCATTTTAGGAACCCTGGAGAAGTTTCTGTCTTCACCGACTCTTACCATCCTTCCAGGAGGTAACGCCCACGGGGTAACTGAGAACACAGTTTGGCCTCCATAAGCCAAGAAAACGTGCTGGTGCTGTCAACAGAATGTAATCATAATTTGAGTTGAAGGGTATGTGCAGAGACTGTAACAGTCTCCACATGCACAGGAGCTGAGGGGTGGTAGGTAGATGCAAGTCTGGCAGCTTGGTTGGGCTGCTGCAGCCAAATGCTTGGCTGTTTTTTGCCACAAAGCTTGGCCAACTTTGGTCAGCAGGGCAGATGAGTGCTGTAGATTAACAGGAGGGTGGCTCCACTTAAGGAAGAATATGTTCCTCAAAGATCAGTGACTTGAAATACTTGCTGGCCTGGAGGTAAGAATTAGACACTCAGGCCAAGAAAAGCAAAAGCCAGTCACTCTCTTTTGAGGACACTCCTCCAGTGTGATCAGATGTGGAGGAGAGTCTGGAGATCTTGCCCACAGCTCTGTCCTTGCAGCTTCAGGCTGCATGTGGAGGACAGGGGTTGTGGGATACTCAAATGCACAAGTCCAGGCTATCAAATCCTGGACACAGGCAGTAGTCCTGCTTCAAAGGGAGAACCCTGGAGATCGAATACTCCCAGGGCTGCCTGATCAGCAGGGACAGGACTTCCACTGCCACAGCCCTGCAGAGACCCATGTCCCTGCAGTGCTGTGCAGTCCTGTCCCTGCAGAGGCTGAGAGCAAGAGAGAGAGATGCTGAGCTCCCGTGAATGCTGGGGGGCATCTCAGATGGGCAACAAAAGGCAAAGAAAATGCTAGAGCAGGAGCAAAGGGACATCACAAGTGTCTGTGGAAACGGGATTATCTCCAGGGCAATGAAAGCCCTTTAGTCTTTCCCACAGGAAATAAGGGGCGAGCTTCTCTGCAGCTCTGTCTTGCCTGGGATGGAGCAGGGTGGCTTTAACTGCCTTGGCTACAGAATAAGATTGCCCTGACATAGACTGTGATGTTGCTGCATGGTCTGCCTGGGTTATAACCCAAACAGGGTTTTCTTCCACCAGCAAGTCCTCCACTCCCTCCTGCAACCTGCCTGCCTTTGTGCTGCGTGGATGCCATGACTCTGCCCTCACGTATTTGCCTGCGCCAAACTGGCACAGTGATGGGGGAGATCTGTGGGTCACCAGAGGAGACCATTCAGCAGTCTCCCTTTCCACACCATCCCTGGCATGGTTCAACCTCTCCCCAGCTGAGCCCTTCTGGGTGGCCCCAGAATGTGCTGGTCTGAAAGTCAGAGACAATGCGAGTCGTGGAGCTGCCCCCGAGGAGGGTCTCTAGGGACCAAGGGCTTGCCTGCTGCTTCCAGTCTCACCCGATCACTGCTGCTGGCACAGTGCTGGGCACAGAGGGGCCCTGTCTCCTTTGAGTGGCACTTGAATGCTGGGAAGTGTCACCTCTTTTTGCCATGACCCAGTTCTCCCTGGCAAGGAGTGAGGGCCTGACTCTGACCTCAAGGCCTGCATGGAGGGACATGTTTCTGCACAATTGAAGGCAACAGGCACCTCTTCCAGTCTTTAAGAGTCTTAATTGATTTGCTTGCTTGTTTATTTTTCCTCCTAAGCCAATGTACGGCACATGAGACCCAAGCAATTCATATTGTTGTCAATTCATACTGTTGTCATACACTGCCTTTGTGTGCAAGGCAAGGCCGACAGATTTAGGTCTCTGTGAGTTCAGGGAGACCCATCTGCTGCTAATGAAGATGTGTCCTGGAGGAGAGTTCATTCATGCTTCACATCTTCCCCCGAAGTCTCCTGACAGATTGCCTACACAACCATGTCAAGAACACGGTGCAAGATGAAGTCAGCAGGTTATGCATGATGCCAGGTGACATAAAACCATCTCAAAGACAGATATTCCACAGATTCCTGAGGATTTAACCAGCCTTGAACTCAAGTCAGTCCCTCATTTTGGTGCAGTCAGGTGTTTAGGAGGCTTTGAGACCACACACATGTGATGATGAGGTAGGGACACTCCCTGAGTAGGACATGCATGCAAGCTCTCTGGGTTGCACCAGAACTAGACTTGTTTCCACGGCCTCAGAGCCCCCTCCCAGCCACTCTACCCACATGTGCAGACCCCTCTGCAGCAGCAGCAGCACAGGCAGACCAGCTTGCACAGACACAGGGAGAAAGTCCAGTCTGCCACCACCCCAAGAAGCATCATGCCTTGGGCTTCTACTTGCTGGACTGGCACCTGGAACCAGCCCTGCTGCTGCCTTCAGAGTGTGGTGGTGATGAGTGAACATGCAGTGGGGCTGACCCAGAGACACCAGCCCTTTCTTGTGGGCTGTGCTGGAGGGGATGAACACACGTGAGGTCTTTAGGACAGAGAAGAAAACAGGTGACTCACAGGGTTTCCAAGCTGTGTAGCCCATCAAAGCCGTTGGCTCCCAGGCTTTGGATCCGGTTGTTGTGCAGGTGCCTGTGGACAAAACAGAGATAGTCAGTGGAGGTGGAAGCCAACCTCTTCCAGTCTAAGCCATGGCCCAGGGACATCCTGCAAGCTGAGCACAGCCTGGGCTGGGGTGATGAGGAGTGTTATAAGGTCCTCTCTCTTGCCCCATGAGACACATCCTAGGTGCAATAGTGTTTGAAGAGCAGCTACAGAGCTCCTATTTCTCCCAGGAAATCCAGGCTGACATAGAAGTTTCCCTGAGTTCTCCACTTTCACAGCTGCTGGGTGACTTTGGATGAACATGTTTAAGCAAGATGCTTCAAGAAACACCACAGATCTCATCTTACATTGGACCCAACCCTACAAAGTACTGTGTGGCTTCAGCAGTTATTCATGGGCAGATGGTGCTATCTAAGGACAGTCATATTTGGACCCCTCAGAGCAGTACTAGCAGCAAGAAGGCTTTGAGTTCAAAATCATCCTGTTAGTCACAGTTTATTATCTCTACTTGCAAAAAAAAAAAAAAAAAAAAAAAATGTCCTGCCAGTTCCTAGATTATCTCCAGTTTGATTGCAATTAAAGTTGTCTCCAGTTTAATGCTTCAAAACATCTGGCTGAAGCACAGGGGCCATGCGACAGGCTGATGCGCATTCTCTACAGTAAGGCAGTGATTTTTTCCCTGTGCCCCTTCACCCTGGTGCTACATGCTACAAACATCTAGTGCTTAAGGGCTTTGGACCTCCCAGCACCACCCCAGTGCTGGTGCTGAAGTGCCATGTGTTGGTGGCCCCTTGGCCTGCAAAGCCACCTGTGGTATTTTTCCTCCATAGGTGATGAGTTCCTCTGGAGTCTCATCTGTTGGGTTATCTGTTTCCATGGACCCATGTCTCAGTTTTTTTGGCAAACTGATGACCTTAAGTCCTGGATTCTTCCTCTCCAATTATCAGAGACTCTGTGTGTGTGTGTACAACTGAGTGTTTTTGCTATTTGGCTTCCTTTGCAGCTGGTGGGATCCATGTGGCTCATTGTTCATCTCTCTCTGAAATCCCACTCAAGGGCACCTTGAAGTCCATAAAGAGAGACCTTGGAACAGCCTGAGGAAAGTCTGCTGAAAGGAGAAGACAACCCACTGCTGCCCAGACTGCACTTCTACCGGCCTGCACTTAAGCAGATTAGTGATGTCCATGCTTGCACTGGGGTGGTCTGTGCAGAGAAATGCCCACTGAGGAGGTAGGGTCCACCGGGGCAGGATACCCTCTTTGCTCTCTGTCAGATTAGGTTTCCTCATCAGTTCATTTTACAGTCCAGGTTCTCCTTTAGCACAGAGCAGCATGTGGTTAATCTGCTGACATACCACTTGGCTTTGGGGTCCTTTCCCCCTTTGCCCACTCTCAGGGACACACCAGCCCTTGTCCAACACTGCTGCCTCCTTCCAAGAGCCTGGGGGGACTCCATATTGGCAGGTGGATCAATCACTTTTTCGTTATTTTGCTGCTTGATCTAAATCTGTCTCGGCTTGAAAAATCTCTCACTCCACCTGGATTCAAGTGTGAGCTGTTTGGCTGAGCACAGGCAGCTCCCACTGCCAAATATTCTAGAGTAAAACAGGAGGGAGCTGGGAGTGGAGAGACAGCCAGGCTCTAGGGAAGTTTGGTAGAGGCTTGCAAAATAGAAATGAGCCCAAGACGGATGTTTGTCATTGGGATGAGAACATACAAACATTTCAGAAGAAGGGGAAGGGAAGGGAAAGAAAGATATGTGACAAAAATATGTTTGCTCCTTTGAGCAAATGGAAAAAAAAGAAAAGTAAGTTGCCTGCAAAAAACTTGGTTTGATCGTGAGTCTTAGAGGAGAAAAGAAGCTGAGATCAAAATCAGAATCTTACAGGAGAAATTTCTCTTTGTTACAAGAAAAGAAGTTCAAGTCCGGGTGGCTTTCTCTATCAAACCTTATGGGATAGCTTCAGAACATGTTGCCCTTACTTCATTTGGCACTTCCAGTGCAAGATGGTGCCAACAATTTTGTGTCCCTTTGAGCACAGGATACTGCATTTTGCAAATTGAGGAATTCTATCGGGAGTTGCTCTATAGTTGCAGCAAGAGGTACCACAGGAACTCCTTGCCCCATACCTCTGTCTCCTTGTGAAGGGACAGCATGGGGAGGAAGAAAATACTGAGGAAGATGTGAGCTCCTTCAGGATTTGTTGGAGTGGTACCTCAGGACACCTTGTTTAAGCCTGGACATGCTGAGAAGCTGACTATTATCGCTCAAGTCAAGCAAGGAGACAGAATAGGAAAGCAATCACCTGCTGTGTTTATATTTGGCTCTAAAGTGCTTTGTTTGGAGGCAGAGTAATGAAAATCATCAGAAGGGTGTTCTTTGTTGGTGAGAAAATTATGAGCAATCCAAAAAGAAAGTTATAAAAAAATTGCTGTCTAAGCTGAACTCTAGAGTTGTTAGCCAACCACATGGCAATAATAGAAACAAGAGAGCTGGAAAGGTAAACACTTGAAAACACGTTCCTTTCTTCTATCTTGCCTTCTTTTTCTCCCTGGGTAAACAAATTTTAACAAGTGGAATTGCAACATCTCCAGTGTTTGTCAATTTGAGCTCAACCCACACAACGTTATATTCTGCCCTGTAAATTACAACTGGTTTGATAGCAGCTCAAGATACTTGGTTCTGGGCTATAAAAACCCCCCTTGTGATGCAAAAGCATGAGAAATCTTTAAGGCCTTGCTACTGGAGCTAGTATCCACCACTGTCCTCAGTAAGATCAACGACCTGTAAGATCTGTGCATCTTCCTTTGCAGGTCAGTACCATGGTGGTTTTGGGCAATCAGCCATGAGAGTAGCTTTGCACAGGAAGGAGCAGAACAGTCATTGGTTTTTTGTAGAATGTTTTTCAGTTATGCACCTCCATTAAAAAACAGTTGTCCCTCTGGAAAAGCAATTTTCACGACTGACCTCTGGCAGGATGGCAGACAATTTGCCCCATGTGTTGCTGCAGGAGCACAAGTGCTACCTCATGTCATGAGACAGGATAGCTCCTCTACTGTGCCACCTGAACCCACGCCACGTCTTCCTGAAAGGCAGTGTCAATTACAGTGGCTGCAGAGTCCCAACTGGCCACAATCCACCAGAGAGTCTGGAGAGAGACACTTCATCTTGGTCAGTGTCTCAGGTGACGCGACTTTAGAAACACACCAGAAAAAAACCAATCCTACAAGATTAATTTGTGCCCCATAAAAAAAAAAAAAAAAAAAAAAAAAGCACAACAGTTTCTAGAAGGAAGATTTTCTGGCCTTGCCAGCAATTTCTTATCACAAACTGAGCATAAACGAGATTTTTCCAAATCAACCTTGCAGCACTCCTAGTAGAATTTGTTTCATTTTCATTTAACTCCCTTTTCCATAATTTTTTCCACTGTATTAAAAGATCCTGAAGAACAATCTTGTACTGAAATGAGAGACAGTCCAACACAGGCATTAGTGCTGTGAGCTCCAAGTCTGGAAATACCACTTTCAATGAGACAGGGCACTTCTGTCATTTGTCTCTCACAGAGGGGAAAGCAGGTTGAGCTCAATGCTGGTTCAATACTGGTTGTCTGAACGAACAAGAGAGTAAAACGTAAGGAAAGGGAAATTGTATTACATCTGCATTGTGCACTGGTGAAACTGGCTCTGGAAAGCTAAATGTATTTCTGGCACCCACACTGTTAAGTGGATGTTGACAATTTGGAATGAATGCAGAGAAGAGCAATAAAAATGATCCAAGGGCTGGAAAAAACTAGGATGGAGACTTAGAGAACTCAATCTGTTTAGCTTATTAAAAATAAGATGAAGGGGATGAGTGCAGCATAATGTATAGGATTCTTCCTGGTTAGAAAATGGGTACTAAAATGGTTCTGTGATTTAGTGGAGAAAAGAATAATAAGAACAAATGTCTGAAGTCAAAGCCAAAGAAAATTCAGATGGGAAATATAGCTTTTTTTTTTTTTTGTTAACACTAAGGATGATTAACCACTGGAACAAACTACAAAGAGAAGTGGTGTATTCTCCATTGCTTTAATTTCTAATGACTTCATTTTTTCTTCTCAAAAAGAACAAATGTAAATATTTTCCATCAGTTATTTGCATTAGATAATTGAACTAAGTTAAAATCTGACATGATACGAATTCTCCCGCTGGACCAGCCATTGCCATGATGAATTTCCAGCTTGATTGTGGTAAAATTGTCCTTTTCCTCAATTTGACCATGGATAAGTAGAGAAACTTAAATAATAAATGGTGCAAATTCCTGTGGATTATTTCTGACAGTGAAGGACCAACACAAGACTTCTCTGGTGAAGAATAAAGCTGAATCAGGAGTGACACTGTCAGAGGTGCACTATTCACTTCTTCCTCAAGTGCTGGAGAGGGAAACTCACTTTTGCCAAGGCAGCATGCTCGGTCCTCAGAGAGGAAAAGCACTTTTGCAAATTAAGAGGCCCATGAATGAGACCCAGATGTTCCAGGTGATGTTGTTCTTAGTAATAATGAATTGCATATGCCTGGCACTCCCCACAAACACTGAGGTTCCCAAGAACTTCTCAGGGAGGGACTTGTTAACTGCTTTGTACAGGTGAAGGTAGAGACACACAGGTTCCTCCTGACACTGATCTAACAGACTGGGGTTTGTTATGCTGGGGAGCTCTGAGTCCCACAGGTATCAGCTGAAACTACAGGCACTCAGCTCTCCTGGAAAGCAGAGATGAGATGTTTGATTTTTCTTCCCAGGCAAGGAAGATACTGAAAATCAGAGGGCCCTTTTGAAAGTTTTGGGCAGAGTAACACCAGATCAAGGACCAAAATAGAAAGAGAGGGTGTGGAGTCTCCATCTCTGGAGATGTTCAAAACCCACCTGGACACTTTCCTGTGCGACCTGCTTTAGCAGAGGGGTTGGACTGGATGATCTCCTGAGGTCCCTACGATTCTGTGTCTGGGAATGGGGACCCAGGAGTCCTGGAAACTAGTTTTCTCCTCTGCTCACTAAACCATGCTGTTAGAGAGCTGCATCATGCATGTCCTTACATGATAAAAACTGCAAGAAAGAGAAATTCTACTAAATATCCTTCATTTACTGTCTTCAGGTCTCAACACATTCAGCTCAAAGGTCTTGCTGGGTGACCTAGGAGGGAAGCATTTGCAGATGAATGGCTTGTCCTTGACAATTTAACGTCAGCTGAAATTCATGTTGCATTTATATAAAGTGCTGTAGAGGGAGGAAAACCTGAGCATATGTGGTAACAGGCTTTTAAATATCTACTGGAAGGAGGTGTTGTTGTTTAGTAGTTGTCAGAAAAGTGAATCAGATTATAGGAATGACTAGAAAAGAGAAAATGGGCTACAGAATGGCATTATACCATTGTATAAACTGGCAATTTTTGTCCTTGCTACAGTGTGTGGTTCTGTTCTCTCCATCTCAAAGGTATGGACGAACAAACAAGTGTGATATGTAGACTAACTTCTGACTGCAAAACAGTTAACTGGATGGGGACTGGAAAAGCCACGATGAGGGAAGGGTATGACAGTAACAAATACAGAGATGGCACAGAGGTGGTAGAGACAGAGTGCGAGAATTAGAGGGCATTACGCAAGACTAACAGGTAACGACTTGAAAACAACTTTCCCAGAGTCCTTGTTTTTGAAAGACTAATGTGGGGGTAGACAAGACTTGGGGCCAGATCAGAGGAGGGAAGCATCTTTTTTTCATTATGGGACCAAGTTAACTCACTGGCTCCAAGCTCACTGTGTGTGAGGCAGCAAACGCTGGCTCCTTTTGACAGCGGGATGTTTAGCATTGCAGGAATTTCTGAGTCAGTGGGGTTTCCAGGAGCTAACGCTTCCTGTGGACCCAAACAGAGAAGGATCTGGGTTTTGACCTCATTTGCTCTAACTTAAGGGATTCCCTGTCATGTGGTGAAAGTAAAACTACCCAAAGACTTTCTCTAGCCTGCAGGTCTGTCATTACAGGGCTGCAGAGAAAACCCCTCTACTGCCTAGCCTGTTTAGGAGAGGTCACTCTGACTCTGTGTCCAATCCACATTCCTAGCTTCTCTACTGCGAGTGCTCACAACTCCTCTGGTGACACCAGGAAAGAAGGGAATTGCAGCCCATTGCAGAAATGTGGCAGCACGGACACATCTGAGGTGTTGAGGGAATTCCTGGCTATGGTTCCCAAACTCGTCATGTCAGAATTTGCTGCAGGATGTGTGGACCCCTTTGGGGAGCGAGGCTGAAGGAGGTGCTGTGATTCCTGCTTTGAGAGTTGACTTTCTGCTGAATTCAACTGACAGAGATGATGAGGGATGCTAACAAGAACTGCTGTCATGCACTTTATCAGCCTGTCAGCACAGCAGCATGGGGGTTTCAGATGCTCACTTCTAAATGAAAAATCTTTTATGCCTTTTGTAAAAACCCCTTTGCTTCATATAAATCAAAGGCTGAAAAATATTCAGGACTATTTCTGCTTGTTGATGCTAAGACACATTCAGTCCTGAATAGATCAGACTTGGAGGTAACCTATTCCCATGAGCCATCCTGATCAAACAATCCATCTCCCTTCTGCCATCAGCAGCACAGCGCCAACATCACAGCACATGAAGGCCTCGTTATCAAAGCTGGGGAAAGGATGGATGGCGCCAGTTACTGAGACTCACAGATTTAATGATGAGTGATTTACATGAGGCTCTGCTTACTGAACACCCTGCAGCCCTAGTTAGAAATTTGCAGCAGCAATGGATGGGAATAAGATCAGGGAATTCCTCAACAGAGGTGTAATTTATTAGCAGAGACTGAACCCCTTAACTTGTTCTGGATTGAGGCTTGTATATTCTGATATTGGTGCTTTGTGTCAGCGCAGGATGATCACCCACATCTCTCCCAAAGGCCCAAGGTGTGTGGAGGAGGAAAAGCACATCTCTGCACATCTCTGTACCTGGGAAGGTCATGCCCTCAGCCACGGTCAGCCGTGTCCAAGAGTATTATTCAAGCTGTATAGGAGAGATTCCCCTGTGCTCCTCCACAGCTGCCCTTGGCTCTCCTCCCCCAGGTGCTCATTTTAATACCTCTCAGGCTAGAAGTTCCCTGATGTTTATGGTAGCAGCCAACTCTTTTCCATCTAAGTGCAAATTCAGACATTTGCAGAG